CAAAAGGTGCTATTTCATCTTTTTAACAGCAGAGTAGTATTTCATTGAGTACATATTCCACAATTTCTTCATCCAGTCAATTGTTGTTGAGCACTTGTTGGTTTGGTGACTTGACTATTGTGGGTAGTGCTGCTATGAACATAGGAGTGCATAAATCTTTTTGAGTTTTCATATTCTTTGAGTAAATAGCTAACTGAGTCATATGATATTTCCATTTTTTAAAAAGTTATCTCCATACTGTGTTCCATAGAAGCTGCACCAAATTAGATTCCCACTGACAGTGGGTGAGCATTCCTTTTTCTCCATGTCCTCATCAATCTTTGTTGCTTTTATTCTTTTTGGTATAGCTATTCTCACAGGAGTGAGGTGATATCTCATGTGGTTTGTCTCGCATTTCCTTTATAATAAGTGATTTTGTACATTTTTCATGTACCTGTAGACCTCCTTAGTGATATGGGTTCATTTTGTTGTTGAGCTATATAATTACTTTATATATTTTGGAAAGTAAACCTTTTTCAGACATGTGATTTGCAAATATCTTTGCCCTATGTTGTCTAGTTTCAATTTTTTCCTAATTTCAATTTTTTTTGTTTCTAGAATTTCCATTTAGATTTTTTTTTCAAATTGTTTTAGTCAGATAGTAGTCTCTTTTTCCTCTCAGTTTTGATGTACTTCTTTTCATGTAGTTTCATATTCCTGTATTCTTTGATTGTTAAATAATTCCAGTACTTGAAGTCTTTGCTCGTCTAGTTTACTGACTTTTGCTCATGCCCTTTTTCCTTGCATATATTGTAGGTTTTGACTGTGATTTTTACTGCTTAGAATTTTTTCAGTAAATGATGCAACTGGATTGAAGGCGTGTTTATCTAAGAAACATTCGTGTTTGTTTCTGCCAGTTACCAGGAGGCACCATATATCAGGACCATATTTTTCTCCTGGTCATTAATAGGGTATGTTTGATATAATTTACATACCATAACATTTACCCTTTTAAATAACTGTGCAACTCTGTGGTTTTTTAGTGTATTCACAAGGTCTAGTACACTTTTAAATACATCCTTGATTTGAGTTAGACTGCACAACTAACGTAAATTTATTGCTGTATACCCTTATGAGAGCTAACTTCATGGTTACAAATTCTTGAATGAGATTTATTTTTCTTTCACCTAAAACCATGATTGAAGGACCAGAGTTCCTTATGGGGCAAATTTGTTTCTACTTGCTTCATACTTGAGGAATTACCCTAATCCCAGCTTTATACAGGGTTTCCTTTCAGATTCCCTCCTTGAAAGTTTTGCCTTTTTTCTCCTACATCCCTTTAGCCAATAGGAGTTCAAGGGCACAAATGTTGAGCAGGTGCCCCAGAGCAGCTGCTGGCCTCAGACTTAGCTCACCTCTCTGAAGTCTAACTCTCAGTTCATTTTTGGCCTCAGAAGATTTAATTCTTTACTTACTTAGCAGCAATGCATATATATATATATATATATATATATATATATATATATATATGTTTCAGCATTTTTTGGTTGTTTTAAGTGTCAGGGTTCTTTGGGATACTACAGGACTATCATCTGTCTTTCAATTTTATATGTAATGTGCATTTTTTCCTCTCTTCTTCTTCCATCTTCAGTCAAGCCTCCAGGGAAAGAGCGTTAGCCATATTCTGTCTTCAAGGCCATTCTTTTCCTTGTGGAATTTCTTGAGCTTACTGGGGTCTGGGACTTCCACTCCCTGCTCCCCAAAAAAGGGGATGTTGCTGCTTCCTCAGAGACCCAGCCACACTCAGCAATGGCCATCTTTCATTTCATCCTGTCTTAAGGCTGCAATAGAACTAAATTCATTTCTTTCCCATTGCTCATGCTTACCAGCTATAAGATATGGGTTCTTAGTCTATTCTGCTAACCCACAATTTTTTTCTGCTTTCTTTTGAGAATAATTTTTCTCATTATGCCCAATTAACCAAGAGGACAGAGGACATCCTCAAACCCTTCTGCCACCTCTTGAGAAGGCAGCTTCCTTTGCAGCTCAGACAGGAAGAACAAAGGGAACATGCCATCTGGGTCACTGTTGGCCATCACCTCAGATCTCAAGTTCAAATTATAGACTTGATTGCTGCCGCTGGGAACACCCTTCCACATCCCATTTCTAGCTAAGTGTGGGCTTTGCCTGTCTCGGACTGGGCCCTAGAGCCCAGATGCGTGGACAACTTCCCTCCTCCTCCAGGAAGCTTCTGTTAATTATCACTTACAGGAAACAGAATAGGAAGCATAAAAACAGTAATTCTCAAGGGACTTTGGGAGGAAATAGTTCCCTTAGGAAAGTTTGTCAGAATCTCTAATGGAAGTTTTTATAGTCCCCACTGTTTCTGGTAGGAGTGGACAGAATGGGGACAAATTCAAGATCCATTGACTTGAACTGCACTGTCCAATATGATGGCCACTAGCTAGAAAGGCTGTTGGGTTCTTGAAGCGGGGCTAATAAAATGCTCACTGGATTTTAAATGTTTCGTACTGAAAAAGAATACAAAATATTTCATCCATTTTTATATCAGTTGCATATTGCAATGGTACTATTTTGGATGTGTCAAATTAAATAACATATTTACTAAAATTATTTTCACATATTTTTGTTTACTTTAAAAAATGTAGCTACTAAAAAGTTTAAAGTTACATATGTGACATGCATTTTGGCACACTTTATGTATTTCTTGGACAGTGCTAATCTACAATAGGTGATAACTTGTTCTTTTTCGGAGTGTGTACATATGTGCATGTCTGTGTGTGCGAGATATTTTGAGTCAAATTGTATGTTCTACCTGCATGCTCTACTGGCTAGATGCTTGGCTATTTTTGCCTGACTCAAATAGGTAGAAGTGACTTCATATATCCCTGCGGAGTTTTCTTAGCAGTGCCCACAGCTCCCAATCCTAAGCAGAAAGAAAATATCATTTGCAAATGGGGAATGTTAAAATGGATTTTTCAGTGAGTTATATAATCAGCAATAACCAAGTAATCCTTGTCTTCATCATTGTTCTCTAGAAATTCATTGCCCCCCATTAGCATGTGTAGTTTATATTCACTTCCATATTAGCTTGGGTGGACAGGGAAACAGCTCTTTGGTTTTGGTGTTATCTTTTCAGGGGCCCAGCTCTGGCCTGTAAGAGCAAACTTTTCTAAGGTAAAAGGGCAACTTTTCCCAGATGGACTTGACATCCCACCCACCTTCTTAGTCCTTGAATCTTCTGGCTTGACAAGTGACACTTGACACTACTGATGATTTCCTCTATGCCCAGTTTTATCCCCAATTTTATCTTCATTCTCACAGCATTTTTGTTTTAGATTTATTTATTTATTTATACAAGCGCTGGGTACAGTCAGAAGCGCAGGAGGATGAGAGAATTCACTAGAGCCAGAGTGGGGAACAGAACAGACAGATTGACAAAACACACTGCTGAGGGGAGCAGCGGGCGCAGCAGGAGAGGTCTGCGCACCATGTGGGACCCTCGCCAGCCAGCGGACGGGGATTGAGCTGGCACTGCAGGGATATAGAACCAGCGCTGCAGAGTGTGGGCAGCTTCGCAGCCCAGCACTCAACTGCTGTGCCACCGGGGAGGCCCCTCATAGCATTTTTAACTAATGCCCTGTTTGCCATCATCTTGGGTGATGTGGAAGTAAAGGATCACAAATACGTTTTTCAACTTATATAAATACCTTTCTAATTTATAGACCTCAAGTAATAATTCATACCAATAAGCGATATTTCCTCAGCACCCCTGAACTGGAAATAAGGAGAAAGGAGACTTTGCTCTATCAACAGCACTTTCTCCTTTTACCGAGCATAGCTGAGGGTTGAGAGACTTGCCTGGCGCAGGCTGCCTGCTGATTTGGGTGAAGAACATGACCTCTGCCTGTGCTTCCTCTGCCTCTTCTGCAAAATGGGCAGAATAAGAGCACCTTCCTCTGACCTTGTGCAAGGATGGAATGAATGAATAATCGCCAGACACTTATATCTTTTTGGCACATACACACACGTGCTTTTGTCATTATTAGTTTTATTTAAGATGATACTCTAAATTCTATCTTGAAGCTTATTGTTTTCACTCAGTGATATCTATAGATTCTTTCCTTATTATAACATGATTTTAATGACCGTGTAGAACCCTTTCATGTGGATACACTTCAATTGATTTAATTGATCTCTGGCTGTTGGAGTTTTAGGTTCTTTTCTATTCCCTTCCTTCCTTCCCTCCCTTATCCTTCCTTTCCCCATATTTTTTTTTTTGTTATAAACAATGATGCAATAATGAATGTCTGTTTAGCCACATTCTTTTTTTTTTTTTTTTTGTGGGACCCTCGCCGGCGGCCGGGGAACAAACGAACCGGTGCTGCTGAGGCTGCGGGCAGCCTCGCAGCCCAGCGCTCAACTGCTGCGCCACCGGGGAGGCCCTTATCCACATTCTTAAGTAATTCCTTAGGAATTAAATTTAAAGAAAATGAAATTACTATATCAAACCTACTTACATTACTAAGCTTTTAGTATTGCCAAACCCTTGACATTTTTCCCCCCAAAAGTGTGCATGTTCCACTTCATAGCTACAAGAGTAAGCATGAGGATTAAGAGCTGGTAACTTTTACCTTCCTACCACCAAGAAGCCCAATTTATAGTCTTGGTGCTTTAAAAGTGCTTCTTTCCCTCTTATCACCTGACCTTAGACCTCTATCCCCCTGGCCCCTTCCTGAGCTGCCCAGACACCAGAGTACAAGTACTCTTCCTGGACCCCTGTATTGATCTCTTTCCTTCAAGTAAATTTAATCCTATCTAGATTGTTGCCTCATAATTTCTTCCAATGGACTGCAAGAATAATTACTGTGGGAAAAATGTGAAATTATTTTGTTTGAATCCATTTCTTTAATGATGTATTCACTTATGCTGACTTTTCTGAAGGTTTACTTTTCAGAAGCCAGCAAGTTCTCACTTGTCCATTTTTCTTACTGTTTTAGCTGCTATGAGAGGCCATTGGCCAGAAAGTAACAGTGAACCCCATGTAGAAAACATCACCTTTGATCAGAACCAAGTGGACTTTTCAACAGTGACCTCCAAAGAGGTTGTTCTTGTTCAGACCTTTGGAAAGAACCATGCTTCTTCAGATGCTACAGAAAACTTCTCTCTACAAACTGAAACAGCAAATGCTGAAGGCAGAAATGACTTTTCAAGGAGAACAAATTTCACCATTTCTCTTGAAGGCCCTGAGATAGCAACAGTTCTGACATCCCAGAGCAGCACCTTGGGTGAGTTTGTATTCACTTCATTCATGTGTGTCCAGTCTTGGAAAACAAAATTTCTCCAGTCTCCCCTCCATACCCCACACCCATCCTGAGCCATGTTACCCATCTAAAAGTCCTGGAATGGGGGGTGTCCAATTTGTGCTTTAATCTGTATCTGGGCATGCTGGGAAGAGTGACTGAGTGTTTTGTAGTGTATTATATTGTATTGTGTGGGTCAAATGGTTGTTCTTGCTTCCATCTGCATGTCTCAGTGGTTTGCCATTTTTAGCAAAGGATTTCAAGAAGGGACTGTGGCTGAATGAGCAAGATTTGATTGAGGAAGAGAAGACAAGGGCACCTACCACATAACAGCATGTCTGGTCCCTCAGTTCTCACAGAAAGCCAGTGAATGTGATTTTCATTTCAGGAATTTGGAAACTGAAGCTCAGAGAAATTAATGATTCCTGTGTGACTAGATCAAAAAGCTAACAGGTTTCAGAACTGGGATTTGAGCCTAAGTCTTTGGGCAGGGGCAGCTGAGGAATGGGATGCTCAGATTATGTGAGTGAAGATACAGAAGAGGGAAGCCTCTTTGTGGGGCAGAAAGGCCAGCAGCCTGCCTTGGGGGCTGGCACAGAGAGGAGAGGAGCAATGAGTAGGTGGATTGTATGGAGGGTTATGAACAGTCATGGAGGGTTTTGAAAACCAGGCAGATTAGATTTGGAGTGGTGGGAAGGATCACTGAAGGTTTTTGAGCAAAGCAGTGACATGATTAAATGGAATTTGAGGAGGATCCACCTGGTAGTCAGGAATAAGATGTCTGGGGTGGGAGGTGAGGTGCAGAGAACCTGGAATCAGAGGTACCACCCAGGCTGAGGAGAAATCCAGTCACCAGATGCTAAGGTAGGGCCCAGTGGCTTTGGGGAGAGAAGGAACTGACATAAGAGAGTCTTCGCAGAGGGGAATTGATAGGTCGAAGCCATCAAGGGTATCCCCAGCTTTCCTCCACTGACAGGAGGCGGTGGGAGCGGGGCGGGTAGAGGGCAGTGTGACCTTGTTGTGTGTCCCACCCGTGGTGGCTACAGGGCCTAGACAGCCTGCACGTCGTGCCGCCTGGTTTTGTTTATCATCCAGATATTGGGACGTTTGTTTCTGTTGAATTCAAGTAAATTCTGGCACAACGCTGTAGAGTGGAGAGGTGGATGAATCGTGATCATCAGAAACTCATCTCTGATTCCATGTCATCCTGTCCTAAGCCTCAGTGTGTTCCTTTTATGAGAATTTTACCACAAATGAAAAATCTTTATGGAATCTAAAAGCAGTCTTTCTCTTAGATTGTCCTCTCTCATTCAGGAGTTGATTTTTCATAGGATGAATACTTGCTCCTAATTTCTTCTCATGTCCGTATTTTATCCAAGTCACAGTTGAGCCCGTGAAAAGGTTACTCAGATGTTTGGAGGCCTGCTGGTGGGATTTTCACTCTTGCCCTCTACTTTCAGCTTTGGGAAGGCCTCGCCTGCCATCCAGCAGTTCAGGATCAGAAGGTAGAACTATCCCTTCTCAAGAGGAGAGCAGGACACCCCAGGGAACCCTGGTGCGGGGGATGGGGCTCCCAGAAGAAGCGACCTCGCACACCCATGTGGCTGCCACTTCGGTTGTGAGCCAGTCCTCTGCTCCTGCTTTGGAGATGGGAGAAGAGACCACAGTCTCCAGGAAGAGCAACTCCTTGCGAACAGAGCGCTCCTGGGCCTATTTTTCCAGGACTTCCTCCCCTGACTCTGACCATGTCTCTTGTGAGTACTACTGACTCAGAATAACACATGCATGTGTGTTGTTAGCTGGTTCCATATGTTAGCCTGTTAGCTGGTTCCAGGTGCTCGGGAAGAGACATTAAGCATTTGGGGTAAAAGTAGAATTTGCATAATTTTATTCAGTATTAAATTCATCTTTAAAATATTTAGAAGTTTACTTAAACTGTATAAGGAGGACAATAATAGTTGATCTGGTGGCTACTCTGGGCCTTTCTGTCCACCAACCCTACTTTTCCCCTCCCCTCCCACGCACACATGTACAACAAAGACCAGGTGTTGGGTTGAGTCTTCACTGGAGGCCTCGACTAGATGAATGAAATGGTGAGCATTATGTCATTCCACTAGGGGTCAGATCTGTATTTCTTCATTATTGCCCAAGTGTTCCCTCAGTGGCAAAGATAACAGAGGTACACATTTTCTAAGCATCATTTAAAAAAACACGATGCAATATAGATGTTTGCAAAGTATGTATTAGGAACTGCAGTGGGGAGTTCTCACCATTCCAGTTTCCAGCCAGCAGTTAAATTTCACTCAGCTACTCCATCTTCACAAAGCTTTTCTTCAACTCTGATCCTCTGTGCAGTTCACCTTGTCACACGAGTCACCTAATACCCATCTACCCAGATAGGCTGGATTCCTCTTGAGGGCACATGCTATGTATATTCTCTCGGGTCCCCCACTGCCCCAAAACAAGGTGCTGTTGATAGTAGTGGGGCTTAGTGTGTGCCCAAGTATCACACAGCAAATCTAGCACCTGCCAAAGAGAATGTTAAAAGTCCTGCCCACCTTCTTTTTTCAGAGGCTGCGAGTTGCATGCTTTCTCAGCCCCCTGCCATAGGGAGCAGAGCAGGAAGGATTAGAATATTCTTGGGAAATAGAGGTTATGCTGCTTCAGAAATTGCCATTTCAAAATTTTTTTAGGTCAGAGGTTTTTTAGAAGTACTTTGCAAGGCTAGGAGTTTGGGTTTATGTCATGAAAGCAAAAACTGAACCCAGAGGTCCTTTTCGTAATGCCTATTTAAAGCAGCAATTCCTCTTCCATATACTCTGTATACAGTTTCCTGCTGACTGGGTATGGATACAATTTATGATTTCTGTTTCTAGGAGATTGCTTTTAAAGTTTATTCTTAAACATGGGTTAGATTGGGTAAATGCTGCAATACTTTCAGTACTTTCCAGCTCCAAAGTTTTGTGGTTCAGTGATTTATAACCAGCTTCTCTAAATGGTGGAAAGGAAACATTTTCTAGGAAGCTACACTTTGATTCTGGTCAGCATCATTTAATATTTATAATTTAAATTCAGCTCACTATGGTATTACATTTGAAAATCAGCTTCTGTTTCCAACTTTATTGGACATGACTCTATAGTCACCTGTATTTTTCAGCAGTAAAAAAAAAAAAAAATTGGCCTTCAAATTCTTTGAGCATTCATCCTTTTAGAACCACCTTTTACTTTTAAATTGTGGAGGTACATGCTCTCCTTCCAATTCCTTGAATCTTTCACTCTTCCTTCTTGGTGAACTGAGTATTCTGTGTGAGGTGGAATCCCACCTCCCTCTTAGATTTTGGAGCATTTTGGGTGCTGTTAAGTGGGGGGATAGCCAGGTGTCCAGGAATGTGTGGACCCAGCCTGCCTGGCTCCCCTCCTCCTGGTGGGGCTGGAGAGGGGACATGAACAAAGTTTCTTTTTAAGGCTGGGCTGGTATCTGCTGACCTCAACAGAGCTCCTCCTACCTTCTTAAATCAAAAATCTTGGGATTTCATCTTGTTCTCACCAGAGGATAGAGGACCTCTGACATTCAGACAGAGTATTGGGAAAGCTGCAGGACTTGCCAGAGGCAGGCCCTGAGTCAGCGGGCTCTGAGGGTCATACTGTGGAACAGGAGCAAAAAGGGAGGCGGGGGAGCCCTTGTGACTCTTGGCCTCACCGTCCACTGGTCAGTGTGACCCAGTGACAGTCCTGGCACTTTGGCCAGTCAGATGAGTGATGCTTCTCCCCACGAGCCTGGCCAGGGGGAACGGGGCTCCTAATTTGAAACACGAAGAGATTGGATAATACCAAAGATCCTTTGTAGTTCTAGGATCTGCTATTCAAAATGCATCCAGCCTTTCTTTAGATTCTGTGCTTCCTTCCACACCTCACTCTGCTGTTACCCAGAAACATGTATGCAGCACAACTGTATGTGCTTGTGTGCCAATAAATGTATTTTATTTTATTTTTATAAATGTTTTAAGATTTATTTTTATTTATGCATACAAGAACTGGGGTGTAGGCCAGAGATTCAGGGGCTGAGAGGATTCAGAGATAAGAGTAGGGAGCAGAACAGGCAGATCTACTGAAATGCACTGCTGAGGGGAACAGTGGGCAAGACAGGAGAGGTCTGCTGCACCATGTGGGTCACCTCCCTGGCCAGAGATTGAATTCATGCTGCAGTGGCTGGCTATAGCTTGATAGTGCTGAGACTTTAGCCCCTGCGCCACCGGGGAACCCCCAATAAATGTATTTTTTAAAGGGGGTCCAGGCCCAGACAGCTAAATTGAACTTTAAAAAAGAGACTAGAAGCCAGTTGAAATTATTTTTCTTGCCACCTTGCATCTTTCTACACTTGCCTTATTATCCATAACGAGCATGTACTATTTGATCAGTGGAGAGAAAATTAAGTAGAGCAACTAACAGGAAAAAGTTCACTTATGAAGGCGGAAAGAGATATGTGTATGTTGAATTGTGTGAGAGAAACTACAATTGAGCACTAAATTTAGTACTGAGCTTCCTGGAAACCAGGGCACAGAGGGAAACTGGGTGGGACATGAGATTGTTGTCAGATGAAGTGAGAACACAGTTTCATCCATAGCATAAGTGTTTTGCGGGCAGTGCATTCTCAGAGGAATATTTATATAAGGAATGCTGAGAATCATAATAGAAAATGTCTTCAAATGCTGTTTTATGGAAATTGTGCTACTGTTCTTTAAAAGGTGATATCAGATGGATTTTCAATAGGAGTTGAGGGTATAATAATGGGTCTCAACTCATGAAAGTATTTGTGTGGGCAGCTGAGCTAATGTGGTCTGGGTAAATTGCTTTGCGGTGATTTCGCTTTGTGAAGGAGAGCATAAATAACTCAGAAGATTGTAGATTTAGCATATCTTTCTTAAATATCAGCTGCTTCAGCTAGTTTTTGGCAAGTTCTAGATAGCAGTCAAACTAAGGTTGAGCATTTGAGGCATGCCTAATGTTTCAGGATGTTACATTGTGATGGAAGAGTAACTCAGATATTTTTACTAAGGTAGGTGGTAGGTAAGCATTCTTTACATTCCTATTATAAAAAAATTAGGGGGCTTGTTTCTACTCCCAAATGCATGGTCTTCCCATTTTTGAATGGTAGCTTCTTTCCTGAAGTGAGCAAGAAAGGATAATTATTAAATAATCAATAGTGCTGGCCTATTTTTTAGACACAAGGAAAATTCCCCCTGGATGTCTTAAGCAGGTGCTCATTTAGTATTACTGGTAGTGATTGTAGATTAGTTTGACCAAACATTTCCTCCTATTATTGAGGTATAGTCACTACACAAATATTCACATTGCTCCATAACTTTATTGTGAGAACTAAATGAGATTATGTATCTAAACTACTTACCAAGCACAATGTATAAAGGTGCATATAAAGTACTGGCACACTCTGATTGCTAGGTAAATGGCAACTGCTATTAATGATGAGGATGAGATGATGAAGTAATGTTCTACCAAGTTTAGGGTCAGAGAAAACAGCTATTTTCCTTTTGTGACTTTCAGCATTTCTGATTTTTGTGATTGTATTTCTGTGACCATTGATTTGCTGGACAGGTGTCCAGACTCAATCAATATAGCTGCACTATACATTGAATGGATGAGATGAAACAGGTTGTTGGGAATAAGTGTTTTGAAAGAACATCCGGTATTCTGATGAGGCTGAAATTTGGTGTATATATACAATAACTTGACTGAAGTTAGGTTTGAGAAACTAAGTCATTGAATTAGAATTTGGGGCATATCTCTATTAGGCTTTCTTTTTTATACACAAAAGCTTTTTTTTTGTGTTTGTGCTTTTGTTTTTAAGTAGGGGTGGGCTTATGTAGACAGGGACTCTATTTCTGTGTTTGGTTTTCCACTTTCTTTGTTTCAATTACAAGTTCTATGGATAGCAGGCATCTTCATTGAGGTCCAGCCACCAGAGCTGTAGGCTTTGTTCTAGGTATAAAGTTGCTTCTGTGGTTTGTACCAGAGCAAGAGGAATCTTCTTGTCTCCCATGCTCTCTCTCTTTAACTATATTTAATATTTATTTGTGCTTTTAGTCACAATTGCACATAGGATCGAGTCTTCAGAGAATCATTTATAATAAGAAATTTTTTCTTCCGATTTCTGGGTGATAATCAACAGCTTGAAGCCTTTCATTATATAGGTATACATGCTATTAATATTTTTGTCCTAAAAAGAAAAAAAACACTCTTTTTTCTTACCCTTGGTCTTTCCCATCATATTTCTTCCTGTTCACCAAACTTTCTTATACTTTGTTCCTGTTTGGAATGAGGATTTTAATGTGTTCTCCTGGAGGTCAGTTTTCAGGGTGTCCTTTGGAAAGTTGTGTGTGGAGGAGAACAAAATCAACAAGTTGCTGTACTTCTGGGGAACGGACTACACATCTTGACTCATGGCACTGTGTACTTCAGTTCTTAGGTGCTTGGCATTTGTCCAATGTCTCCATCCATTTCATAGACAAATGGTTCCCAGCCTGGAGTCCTTAATCTCTTAGGGACTCGGAGGAATATGGAGATGGTCAGTCCCCAGTGCCTCATGAGGCTAATTCTGATACTGAAGCCTGCTTGCTTTTGAATGAAATTAAATCAAATTAGTTGGGTAACCATGAATATCTCCTGCTGATTAGAAGCTCTGTTACTTAATAAATACAATTTGGCTAATAGTCTTTCCAAACATAAGTGACCTGTGGTGGGGGATGGTACAGCTGGTGGTAACAAAGCCTAGGCCACTGTTGTTACACTGTTGTCTGTCAATTGGATGTGTCAGTATAGGTCCAGATTATCTAGATTTATCTACCAAATGCTAAGAAACAGTATGTGCATCTTGCTATGTCCTGATTTTCCTAACACCCTGCATAGTCTTGAAGCATCTTTTCTTCCATTTTAGCATCTAGAATTATGGAAGAGTTTAATACCACTGCTCTCCAAGGCTCCTCCATCAGGCAGACAGTGGGAGTGCATGTCGCCACCGCATTCCCTGATGGTGTCCCAGAAACTGTCAGTATGGAACCTCTAAACAAGACTGAAACTTTCCCTGAGGACTTCAGAATTGCCACAGCCTCAGCATCAGTCCATTCTTCACCCTCTGAGGCAGAATTGAGAAGAAACAGTGGAGCCATCGGTAATATGGAAGGTGGGAAATTCATCGAGCAATCCACAGAAAATGCATTTGGCCTTACGTCTTCTGAGGTCTCGGTAGGATTTTGGCAAAATGATTCCCCAAGTAAGTATTCAATCTTTATCTTTTATGAACATTTAAAAATTGTTGAGTTTTCTTAAGGAGTCACTTCAGGATCATTTGAAGCTTTGTATCTGGTGTAGCATATTATTGCAATTTGCTCTTCATCCTTATGAGTACATTGAGAATTTTGCTGGCCAGACATCATTTCTCCTGCTTTCTGATAGATGAGGAAACGGAGGTCCTGGGAGTTTAAGGAATGACACACAGTCCTCTAGCTGTCTCACAGCAGAGCTGAGACCTAGTATCAGCACTCCCACCACTGATTTCATCTCTTCATTCAGCTGCATGGTCTTCAAAACAAGCACTGTCCTGCTCTTTAAATTTGGCTTCAGTTATTTTATCCACAGAACATCTGGTCAAATAACATGTGCAGATAAACATTTGTCCCCCAGATTCATGGTTTGCTATCTCCCCATAGTGGATATTTTGTTTGCTATACTCTGAAGTTAAAACGATCTTTACTGTTTTAGAAAAATGCTCTGATTAAGCAATGTATTTAGCACCTCGTGTTTGTTGGACATTAACAACACACTCACTCCCATCACACTTTTTTGGGGAAAGAGAATAAAACACTCAAGTCGCTATAAGTTACTCTGCTACTTTGTACTTGCTGTTTAAAAGCTCCCCTTTCACCCACTTTTATTTTTAGTATTGTTATCTTAGAGACACTTGGCAGTTTTAAAATAATTATTTATAATATGAAAATGCATGCCAGATCACATGTACATAGTAAGGAGTGTACAAGGTTCTTGCCAAGGGAATCTTGCCTTAGAGGAGACGCCCATCTTAGCTGAGGAGGAATCTCTTTCACATCATCGCTTGTTTTCTCCGGCACCTTACAGCTTCGGGTGGTCGTCAGCTTGTCAGCAGCTCTGATGTGGCGAGCAGAAGTGGGGCGTCGCAGACAGAGGCAGTGTCCAGGCCAATCCCTTCAGTGAGAGGTGGAGAGAGAACAGCTCCCTGGTTCCTGACGGAGAGCGAAACATTTACAGATGTGACAGGAAGCTCTACTTCCTATCCTGAAGTTGTGAATGCTTCAGTTTTGACCCAATTCTCAGCTTCTGCCCCACAGTCCAGAGGAAGTGACACAACACTGCACGAGAGGAATTACTCTGAACCATCCGCCCGGTTTCTGTCTTCATCTTCCTCAGAAAGCCTGGATTTCTCAGCAGCACCACGTGGTGAGCACTTTTGTGAGCTTTCACTTCACAGAGCTGGGCCACACAGGAGGGAGAGGGGCTCACCAGGCTTATGATCGCCAGTGGCTTATTAAGGTTAGCAGTGATGAAATAGCCTTGGTCGCTTCATTATTCCTGCACTCTTGTAGGGGATTGGTACAGAAATAGCAGTATACCCCAGAGATTTTTTTTCTGGTATGTATCCAAGGAGCTGCTGTGGCTACCTGCCTCTCCCACACACAGCTCAGATGCTTCTCTGTCACATCCATCCACTCCCTGTTGCCACCCTTTACCCCCATAGCTGCCTCAATTGGTAATTTTGATAAAGTCCAGTTTATCAATTTGGGAAAATTTTTCTTTTGTTGTTTTTAATATTTTTGGGTAATTTTAAAAAGCAATTTTCAGTAGCTTTATCAATGTCAAGTATATGATGACTAAGCAAAACTGCATTAAAATATTGTTAAGACTTATAAAGGTTTAAATTCTTACCTATTCTTACCTCTATCACTGATAATAGTGACTCCATTTCCCCATACGAGCATCCTAACTGCTAACCCTAACTAGTGTGTAGTACCACTCATGTGATGTGGAAAAGCATGTACTTATCATGAAACAGTATCACACATGTGATGGAGGACATCTGTGCTCCATTATGTCTGTGCATGGAAAATACATTATCTGACTCCCAAACGAAAGGAATCATTTTCTTCTTTTTTTTTTTTAAGATTTATTTATTTATTTATTTATTTATACATACAAGCACTGGGTACAGTCAGCGCGGGAGGGTGAGAGAATTCACCAGAGCCAGAGCAGGGAGCAGAGCAGGCAGAAGGACCGAAATACACTGCTGAGGGGAGCAGCGGGCGGCAGGAGAGGTCTGCACGCCATGTGGGACCCTCCTTTGGTGGCCGGGGAGCAGCCGGGGATCGAACCGGCGCTGCAGAGGCTGTGGGCAGCTTTGCAACCCAGCGCTCAACCGCTGCGCCACCGGGGAGGCCCAAGAGGAATCATTTTCAAACCTCACCATTGAGGTGCTCAAAATTTTTGCCTCCTCAGACCAGGAGTGTAAACTTCAGAGCTTTTTCATCTCTCCAGCATCCTTCATGCTGCAGTGAATGCTCAGCTATTTTGTGTGGAAACTGATGTTGTGTGAGTGGATCTTGGCATTCAGTTACCAAAAGTTGGATAAGGGATAGCCTTGTTCCTGAAACCACCTCACTATGGCTTAGCCTACTGCTTATTATCATTTCCTCTGAATCATCCAAAGCTGACTTAGCCTGCCAGTGAGCCTTTCAGAATTCTTGGTCTGTTCATTTTTCTGGGTTCAGGTGTAGCAACTCCTACTGTTCCAGGTGATGACTTCACTTCATTTGGTCTATAAGCCTGATGTGGTTGTGTGCCTAAATTTTGTTGAGTAGAGAGTTCCAATCTTTCCACCCCAGGTCTTTTTCTCTTTGCTCGGCAACCAGTGCTTAGACACACTCAACTGTCAGGCTTCTCCTGGATGACTTTTTGTAGGTCTCTTAAGCCCTTCAGTCTGGGTTAAATCATCACTGTTGGGCCCTGGCTTTCTGTAGTGGCAGGAACATACACGGCGCAGGTTTTTTATGATCCAGCAGACCGGGTAAAGGAGGAGTCAGAGTCCTTAGTGGCTTTTTGCAGGTCTTTTTATTTAGATTACCAGGTACAAGGCAGGCAGGGGCGCTGGGGGGCCGGGAGGCTGGTAGGCCTCCCAGCCCCCAGCAAGTCTTCACTCTATCTGGGCTCTCTGGCGTTCTCTGCTTCTCTCTTGGCTTCTTCTGCTTCTTTCTCAGCTTCTCTTTCAGCTTCATGCTGTTACTGGCATCCCCGTGACGCCGCCCTTATAAACTCAGTCTCTCAGCCCAGGTGTACCCACTTCAGCTGCCCGCCATCAGGCATGCATTCAGGACCACAGGGTTCCCTAGTCTATACTAATGGCGGGAGGGCAGAAAAGCCTGATACCTTTTACCTATCCTACACTTTCTCAGTGCTGCTCGAGGTCAGTGAGATTCCTGTGCCATGCTTATTCCTGCCAGTTACGTAATACTTACTTAACACTCACCTTGATACCTATTTTCTATCAAGATTTATCCTTAGGGTATCAAGGACAGGGAATAGGAATAAAACCTGGAAAAGAAACTGTTTCACAGAACCAGATTGTGAAGAATTTACACCAAAAGAAATTAGATCTCATTTCCATCATTTCTGAAAGGAAGTGTTAATTTGCTAGTCTAATATATTAATCTAAGATTATGTAAGCTTATAAAATAAAACATAGACCCAAGAAAGAAAAAGATATTTCATCGTGTCTCAACTGCCCCTACTCTATACTCACCAAACAAACAAAACAGGAATAAATAAATGCATTAAAAAAGAAACAAGACAAAACAAAAGCCAAGCCCACCTCCGTCTTCCGACCACAATGCCATTTCTCAGTGATATATTAAAGCAAAGAGCTAATATTTTAAAAGAATGACAGGCCCTGTGTCGGTTCGTGTACTACTAGTCCTACCAGGAGTTAAAAGTCTTCGGAGTAATGTGGGCCTCTCTCTTGGGCCTTGTTAGAAGAGCTACAGCCCCAAAGCATTGTTAGTGTTTTGCCTACATTCACCACCTCGCAACCACCACCAATTTTTCCCTGCCATGAACTCTATTTATTATTTATGACAAAGCAGAAATATGGTATTGATTCTGTTCACAAGGGGAATAAACATTCCCATAAATCCAGGTCACCTGAACAGATGCACTGATCCACAGTGATTCCCGAGGTTTCTGTCACTGGTACAGTTTACAAGAACAACACACACGTGTTGGTTTTCCACATTGTGAGTTTCAGATAAAGACCCTGACTGAGCTAGGGAAGCATTCTGGCTGACAAACCCCAGGAAGGGAGACTTATACCTGAGACCACTGCTCTGCCCTGCATTTACCGCCACCCCCTTTTCCTCCTGCAGCCACTGAAGATGGCCCCAAGCTGGGGGCCAGCTCTGATGTGGAGGAGCGGACACCCAAGGGGACTTCTGGTGCTCGAGCTCTGGGCACACACACGTCAGCTACTTTCACTGGAAGCGGAGAGCGCATGCTACGGTCTCTCACCAATGGAAGCACGACTTCCAGGGGAGAGGGGCGCTCTGCGGCCGACCCAGAAACAGAGAGTGCCACGCACGGGGACACGACAGTGACTGGTGATGCCCACCTGGTGTCAGGCTCCCTGCCCGTCTCACAAGTCCTTGGAGGTGACAGTAGGATATTTCCACATTCCTTTGGCTCTTCTGTCAATTTGCTCACAGATCTAGATTGATTAAGCTCCCTGTCAACGTGAAAAGCACTTTACAAACTCTTTATGAGAACTTTCTGAGTTCTCCCACCTCCCCTCCCCCCACCGCCCACCAAGCACACACACTACACACCCAACACCCTTGCCTGAGGCATTTGTGATGTTATCTACCAGGATGCTGGAAATTAAGGAGACTAAGGGCTATAGCCACTCCCCTGGGAAAGAAATATTCCACAGAATAGAAAATTAGGAGGCTTTGCCCTTTCCTCTTTAGGCATAACACTTGTTCTATTTGGGGTCTTACATGTTTTTCAGATACCAGTTTGCTTTATGAGAAAGGCATGGGGAGGCAATTTGTATCTATTCCCTATTCTTCTGCCCCCCACCCCACTTCTCTTGAATCACTTCCATTGCTGCCACCCCTGCCCCTCACGGAGGGTGGGTGGGCTCCAATCTTTCCGCCTCCCAATTCTGGCAGGGCTTGCCACTCACCTCTCCACAGCAGCATTTCACCCCTGGCATCCATGGGTAGGACACTGAAAGCATTCAGGAGCTTTCTTACTTGGCCTAACCTTCGTTTTTTCCTTTGCAGTCACTGGCGTCAGCAGCGATCAAGTGAGTGGCACAGACATTGAGCAGAGGACTTCCAGTGACCTCACAGACCACACCTACGTTTCATCTACTTTCACCAAAGGAGAACGGGCATTACTGTCCATTACAGACAACAGCTCATCCTCAGACATGAGGGAGAGTTCCACTTCCGTTCAGATCTCAAACTTTTCACAGTCAGACCATTCTTCCTCTTCTCTGGTCCACGTGGGAAGAGAGAAAGTCTCACCCGATGTGGGGGAATATGCTCAACCTTCCACAGAGTCACTGGTTGTGCGCACGGCCCACCCTCCATCCTACACACCCACCGTTCATGTGGAAGACACCTGGGTTCTTCTGGACGCTGATGCTGGACCGGTTGGCAACTCATCTTCTTCAGGGTCCTTGTTGCCTCTGCCGTCAGTGTCACAGTCCTACCAACCATTCTCATCATTGTCATCCACCAGGGCCACCACTCACCCACAGCAGTCCACCCCCAGGACTCCCCCACCTTTATCATCCTCACCACCACCTTCACCAGTATCCATGACCACGTCGACCTCTGTGTCCATATCCCAAACAACCTCACCACTGTCACTTTCTACCGTGATTCTGCCCAGGGCCAGGGACACGCCTGTGACTTCAGTTCGTGTATCAACAGTGGCCTCATCTGTGGCCATGCTCCCCAGTAGTCAGACGACAGGCTCTACGAACCAGAGCGGCTCACACCATGAGAAAATCATGACGGATTCAAAGCTACCAAACCCAGTGTCTCTGCCCACGGAGGCCACCAAAGCTGTAACAGTGAGCTCCACTTCAGGGATTCCTCTGCCTCCGGCCTTAACAGAGTTCTCTCCTGAGCACACCCTTCCAGTCACAAGCACCAGCTCAGCCCAAACATATCCAAGTTTGACAACCTCCGCTCCCAAGACCTCTCCTTCTCCCGGGCCCACTGCCAGCCCCCCATCAAGCATAGCAGCTCCGACAGCTGGCCCCACCACGGTACAGGCTACATCTGGAAAACCACCTGTGCCAACCAGTCCTGAAATTCTAGTGTCACGTAGCTCAAGAGAAGGTGCGACCACTACACGAGGGGACCCAGAGCATCTAGATGCTACCACCCAATTGGTCCCCCTGATCAGTATACCTACAACAGCAAGAGACGTGACAACAGGGCTTGGCACTGGAGATGAATACAGTCCAGCTTCACATTTCCTCAGGACGTCTCCTTCCCAAACCACAGATGTTTCCATGCCTGAAATGTCGCCTCCTCGGTCTCAGAGCAGCACACAGTCACCCGTGGCTTTGTCGTCTCCAGCCTCAGGTAGAGCACAGTGGTCTTGGCACACAGTGCTGCACGGGCCTGGGGATGTGTGGCAGCCATCTTTGCAGTAGTGCTGTGTCTGTTTTGTGACCACAAATGCTTCCAGTTGAAGCACATAAAACATAAAATTGTGTCGCAGTAGACCTGATTTTCTTACCTCTGAATTGCATACTTCTTCCTGAAAAGGACCATGTGTGACATTAGCACACACTACAACTGTAGCTTGTACTGTCCTGCAATTTTAAGGGCTTTACAAGCCTGCCTTTAATACTTCTGAGGCTTGAGCTGGGCAGTGATGCAGGACAGGAGGGTGTGGAAACTGAGCCAAGAAATTCTAGGAGGTCTTCCCGAGATACGGAGTGATCAGGTGGGTGGTGCTCCCAGTTTCAGAGCCCCTAGTTTCTAAATCGGTCATTTGGCTCTTCAGAGAAATCCCAGGCTCCCTAAGATCATGTTACTAGTGGACAAGTGCGGGTGGGGGCCGTGTTCAGTGAGAAGCAGATGAACTAACTTTTTCCCACAGCGACTGCCTGACTGGGGCTCTGTGCATTGTGCTCGAGGTTGTCTTTCTAGCCTTGGAGCTGCTGGTACAAGGAAAATAAAGGCATCATGTGATTATCATTTAAGGAAAGATATAGAAGGAAGTAGGAGGATATATCTTTTGAGGTCATGTTCAATATCGTACATTTGGCTTGTGCACACTCGGATAGGGAACCGCTGTTGCTGAGGGGGGCTAAGTGGAGACTGACATCTTATGGAAGAAGGAAAGAAGAGAAGTGCTTTGTAGTGACTGGAGTGGGGAGCTCAGTCAGCCACAATCAACCTGGGGGCTGAAAGGATGTAATCCACCTCCATACCCAGCCCCACGTGTCATGATGCATCGGTACCCCCTTTGTATTAGTGATCTGAGAGCTGGATCACTTTTCCTAGGAAAAAGAAAGGTGGATCCTTTTCCTGGAAGTTTGGGAACCTGGCCTGAGGACTCAGAAGGCCTCGTTCCAGAGGCCAAATGTATCCCAATACCAGATAGAACATAATTTCACACATCTGCCTCCCTGAAAGCCGATGATGGTCATGGTAGTAGGTGCAGGCGAGTACTGGGAGCACCATTACTGGCTGTTAATATGTTCTTTGTGACATTGCCCCGGGGTGGAGTGTTTGGATGTATAGGTGCTGTTCATACAGGTGACTGTAGGTGTATTAAAGTAGCAGTGAGAAATACAAACACCGTCTTTAGGTTTAGTGTACTTGTTTTTTTGGTTTTAGAATTCTTTTTTTTTTTTAATAGAGGCATTTTTTTTTTTATTTATTTGTTTGTTTGTTTGTTTGTTTGTTTTGTTTATGCAAGTACTGGGTACAGTCAGAAGCGCGGGAGGGTGAGAGAATTCACCAGAGCCAGAGTGGGGAGCAGAGCAGGCAGAAGGACCGAAGCACACTGCTGAGGGGAGCAGCGGGCGGCAGGAGAGGTCTGCGCGCCATGTGGGACCCTCCTCCGGTGGCCAGGGAGCAGCCGGGGATCGAACCGGCGCTGCAGAGGCCGCGGGCAGCTTCGCAACCCAGCGCTCAACCGCTGCGCCACCGGGGAGGCCCGGTTTTAGAATTCTTGACTTCCACCTTCCTTTTCTCATTTTGCTGATTTTCTCCTTGGAGAAGATGCAGTTAATTGTGGGTTTCAGCCTTTCTAAATACATATATATATATATACCTTATTTATTAAGCAATTATTATAGAATTCAAGCTTGACAGTGCCAGTTATACCAAAACAGAGAGTGTGATGCTTGGGAGCTGGGAGTCAGAGACGACAATGAAGCCATTGCATCCGTAGGGCCTCGGTGAAGGGCTCGGTGTTGCTTTATGTAAAGAGAGGGCTTCGCGATGCTCAACTCCAGTTGTTTTTCTAAATGATTGTACAATATATGGAGGCCCGGTTACATTTGGAGATTTTTGGATAAAGGGAAATCCTGTAGCAGGGAACATAGTTGACCAGGGATCTTTTGTTTCTCTTAATATGTGTTTTAAATTTTTGTTGGTTCAGGTAGGATTTTCTCAGAAGCAATACAATCAACCCTGAACTGTGTGACCTATAGGTGGCATTTGAATTTGAACCACTTCTTGTGTTCAGGGATCCAATTGTCTAACATTTGGTTATGTCCACAAGCTGGTACTGGCGTCCAGTCCCACCACCTCTCTTCTGCACCTCTTGGGAACAAACTCTATTTTGGTAGTGCGGCTCTTCAGGGCAAGTAAACAGAAATAAGCAAAAATCAAATATTAGCTGGAAAAATTAAATATTTACCTGAAGCTGCCTTTATGTTTCCTGTGTGATTAACTGCTTTATTCTTGGAATGTGTTTTTAGTTAACAGCTGTGCCACTAACCCTTGTCTCCATGATGGGAAATGCCTTGTGGACCCCACCAGCCGTGGGTATCGTTGCATATGCTCACCTTCCTGGCAAGGGGATGACTGCAGTGTGGGTAAGAGGAAGGGTAATCTTTGGTGGTCTGCACTGCAATAGCACACCCAGATAGGTAGTAAATTCCTTTTTTCCTCCCAAATGTAGGGGAGTAAGATTTTTTAATTAGCACCCTGCTTCTGTGAGAGTTAGCATGGTTACGTGTTGTCAGACAGTAATGCTGATAGCCTCCATGGTCTGGCTCCATTCTCTGGGCCCTATACTCCTGCCATACTGAGCCAGCTGCACTTCCTGCCCTTGACCTTCCTTGTGTGAGTGTCTCTGTGTAGAATTCCCTCTCTCCCACCCCATGTCTTTTATTAAAGCCTCTGTCTTAATCCAGATGTTATATGAAACAGTTCTTAACTTTTCCTCCCCATCAAAATCTGCTTCTCTGAACTTGCGAACCCTCCATTGTACTTATAGTTAAGTGCAGATGTGGCTGCCAAGCTTCACAGTAAACTGGCAGCCCCTGGAGGACAGAGCAGTCCTCCTCATGTCTGGGCTGCCACACGGAGGCCATTGGCCCTTCGTGAGCTCTTCCTGTGCTGGGTCACGGTTTTGCTGTTTGCTACCGATGTTGCATGACCTTGTTTTCTGTCCTCCACAGATGTGAATGAATGTCTCCTGAGCCCCTGCCCGCCCCTAGCCATGTGCAACAATACTCAGGGATCCTTTACCTGCAAGTGCCCAGTTGGGTACCAGTTGGAAAAAGGAATATGCAATTTGGGTAAGGATGTTAGCCTATCTTGGAATTTTTTTGCACTGCAGTATATTTTACAAAATAATATTGTTTTTCTTCCTAATCAAAATCAAATATTCACTGAAGACATAAACTTAAAGAATATGGAATAGATGATGATATCTATTATTTAGCCACTCAAGAGATCTAGCACTTTATTTGTTATCTTTTTTTGTATTGTATACATTATATATTTTAGTAGTTGGAATCATATAGTATTTGTACACATTTTATATCTTAAACATTTTGCATGTTATTTAAAATATACAAACATCTTAACCGCTCTATAAATATGCTATCATTTGTGCCTAACATTATTTCCCTAACCCTTCCACTCTGCAGTTAGGAGGAAAAAAAAACACATATCAAAAGTATACTATAACCATATAGTAAAAATAAATAAAAATACATAAATGTAGATAAATAAAAAAAATTTAGATGGGGGGAAAAAAGAGGGTAATCAATCAATCCCTGATTACCCAATCAGATTCAAACATTTTTTTAAAAGGATCTTCTTGTTCTTATCCACAGGCAGATACTATTTTACAAAGCTGCCGCCATAATTATGCCTTATAATTTGTCATTTTTTTTCCCCTAATTTGATAGATTCATGAAGCTGGTCAGTTTTAGACATAATCTCCATTTCACAGGTTAAAAAGCAACAACTCAAATGAAAACTTAGGCCTTGACAAGGTGCTAAGTGGCCAAGCTAATGCAACTGCTTGAAACCAGATGGAGTTTCCAGCCCACATTTCCTTCCATCACACAATATGCTGCTAATCATCAAAGCTTCCTCGTACACAGGGCATGACCTTTTGTTAGAGCGAGGAGTCCAAAGTAAAGCTTGTTGAGGACTTTAGATGTGAAGAACAGAGTTATGTCGACCTCAAAAAGGCAACCAGCTCGTAAAGCCACACACAGAGGAGGCAGACAGGATGTGTTCAGGGTGCACTCTTCTCCCACCACCATAGCCCCAGATTACCTTGGAACACCCACCCCCTCAGGTGAGAAGGAAATGGAGACAGAAGACAGCACATTAGGGTCCTATAGTTTATTTGTGTTCAGTACTCTTTAGACTGCCATCCTCATTTAAATAAGGTTTTGAGTATTAATGATGACATTTATCTAAGCTGAATAAGAAAGATGGCAGGTAAAGTGACTCAATGTTGAACTGTCTTATCTCCCATTATGGTTGTATTTTTTAATAGAATGTGATAATAGAAAGTGGTAAATATTTTTTAAGAGAACAAATGTCTGTATCCTTTAAAAGTGTTATTTGCATGAATTCCTATTACCCAGAGACTTAGTGGAGTCCTAAGATGTTTTAAGAACATTGGTACTCTACTAAGATAATGGTAGCATTTTAAAAGCTATTGAAAATATAAGAATCTAGAGAAGGTATTACTAAAGCAAGAAAAATCTAGGAACACAGATATCAGTCAAAATCAAGAATTCCTCTTATTCTAGTGGTTTATTTGCTCTATTTAGCAACCCCGTGAAAGAGATAAGGCAGGAGCTTCCATTTTAAGAATGGGGGAACTGGAAATGATTTTATTTTAAAGCAGGGTAGAAAGTACACTTGTCCAAGAACTCAAATGCCTGGCTTCTACCACCAACAAACAGCACAGGCCACAGGGTAACCACCAGCTCTGCTTCCCACTCAGGGTGATTGTGAAGATCAAATAAAATAATTTACTTGAGTAGAGTTCTCCAGATCGGCAGTATTATTTCATATTAGCCTTCAGCCTCTTGGACCACCACTGAATAAAAATAAACTGCTGGGAATGCAAAATAAAAATTATGGATTTTTAAGAAAGTCACTTAGATAACCTCTGTAAATCAACAGTTATATCTGAAATAAAAATTGCCTAAAAGCCAGGTGACGTCACTGCAGGTAGGAAGAGGTACATGTGCCTGGGGAGAGTGCGGACTTCATGTCCGCACTGAAAGCAGAGGCCCATTTACTGTCATGACTCAGGAGAGACTCACGTCCTTAGCATTGACAACATGTACGTGTCTACGCAGAGAGTTTGGGTGGAAGCTTATGAGCTGTGAGGATGAGGGAGTGGGGTAACTGTTCCGGAAGCCTGCCTGAGGAGCGTCCCACAGCCTCCCGATGGGGGAGAGCAGTTCTATTGTGTTAATCATCTTTCCCTTTTCAAGTCATTTAGCTTCATTGTTCATAAACATCAGAAGAACATGCAAATTAGAGCATGCTGAAATGCTTTCATTTGGCCAAGAACATTTTCAAAGAGCTCCCTGCTGCTCAGAAAGAGTCCTAAGCAGCTGGCTTCACTGAACTGTAGAACAAGCAAAAAGATTTTAAATAAGGATTAAGGGCTTTAGACAGTAAGTATAAGATGTTAAATGTTTTCCCTGGCTCATTTGTTGGGTCTTTTTCTTAATTCAGCAGCAAGCTTTCTGTGAAAGAGAAGCTTCATGGGTTTCTATGTTTGGGTTTTATTTTTTTTTTTCACCTGTCCACAGGGAAAGATTAAGAATTTAATATAAAGGAAGATAAGAACCAGATATAAAGCAGGCTATATTCATTTCAGGCTATACTAATTTTTGGTTGCCTGCCCATTGTGAGTTCCATTCCCCTCAGGCCCAATCAGCACAAAATTGACAATAACTAGAATTTATTTTATGAGTCAAATAGGCCTTGAAAACGGGGATGCTTTCTTTCAAGTCTGAACCCAAACAATGTCTTGAATAGGCTTGTTTTTATCACAGCTTGTAATAGTCCATCGGCCCCTGCAGTGGGGGCTCACCTCACATGCATGGGCTTTCTTTTAGCCCCTTGGTTGTCCTTACAACATCAGGCTTCTCAGGGGACTGACAGTATAGGGGGAAACAAGAACTTGGAAGATGGGCACACATGACTTTATTTTTTTTTTAAGATTTATTTATTTATACAAGCACTGGGGTACAGGCCAGAGGCGCAGGAGGGTGGGAGAATTCACCAGAGACAGAGCGGGTAGCAGAACAGGCAGAAGGACCAAAGTACACTGCTGAGGGGAACATCAGGCAAGACAGGAGAGATCTGCCACGCCATGTGGGTATCTCCCTGGCTGGCTGGGAATCGAACCTGTGCTGCAGAGGCTGCAAACAGCTTCACAGCACTGCGTCAACCTGCTGTACCACTGGGGAGGCCTCACACATGACTTTAAATGTTAATTTTGGCCCTTAGGAACTGAGTGAGCTTGAAAAGTTAGCTGATTTGGGAAAGTTTCTTTTATTAATGATAAAGCAGGCATTTCCTCTGAGCATGGGGTTTAGATGGGAGTGACTCCAATAAGAAGAGGAAACTGAAGCATACCTTGAAATTGAGAATTCATTAACTTGATAGAAGTTCTAGAGAGCGAGAGCTTTCCCTATCTAAATCTTTATAGGGACTGACAAGTGGTTTTTTGTTCTAGTCCTACACCTCCCTCACTTCCCCCAGCTCAGAGGATGCCATTTAGGCCTGCTCATCTCTTCTTCACACAGCTTTATTGAACATCTACTATCCAAGAGGGAGGACATTACTGAGATTTCTAGAAGTTTCCTCCTTTTAGCAGCCCTCACACCTACATAAAAGGCTCCTTGGAGTCTCTCACTCAAAGGTTTACATCAGCTGAGCTTTCAGCTCAGCTCAGTAGATGCTCACTTTACTAGAGATGAACCCTAGGGAAGAAGAGGTCATCTTCACCCTCAAAGAGAAAGAACGCACCAAGATTGTCCCAAGAGGAAAAGCACAGCTGGGTACTCCAGAGATTTATGCACACACAGCCTGGTATCCAGTCACCTGTTCATTGTGTGGGCTAACAGGTTATGTTTTTCACTTTCAGTCAGAACCTTCATGACAGAGTTGAAATTAAAGAAAAGTTTTCTAAATACCACCATGGAAAAGCACTCAGATCTCCATGAATTTGAAAGTGAGATCACTAAAATGGTAAGTTTCCTGAAAGGTATGTTCCCGCTGGTCCTTTGTTTTCTAGAACAGATTTCCCTGGGGATCAGTTGTTCCTCCTGGGTCGATCATTTCTATGATCATTTCACAGTAATATAAAAAGCCTCTCAGAAATAAAAGGGTATGGAGAACAAGTGGTACCAATAGTAGGGTTTCTTTGAGTGTGTTGTAACATGCAATCGTTATCAGTGCCTTGGCATTTCCTCCCATGTGTGGGCTCATAGTCACAGACATATAGATGACATGCACCCAGAAGAGCTGTTGTGAAGAGGAAACACCCAGGAAATACTATTATCCTATCTGCTGTGTGACTTCCTTTCTGTACTTCAGAACTTGGGGAGAATAATGCTTTTTTTCCTCAGGGGAATGCCAAAGTTATTGCTGTTAATTCTGATTATCTATGGTTGAGAATTCATAGATTATCTAGGGACCTTTGATTTTCCTTTCCCTTTTAGCCTACTTTTTGTCAGGAAAAAGGAAGGAAGGGAGGGAGGAAGGGAGGAGGAAAGGACATGAAAAGGAAGAAACAAAGAAATGAAAATGAAGCTGAGATAGTAAATTTTGCTTCTCAACTGCTACCTGAGTTTAAAATTTGGTGTTCACAAAATTAAAACTTGACCTTAATTAGGTTTAGAGATTAATGGATTTAGGTTTCAACTTTACTTGTTCTTTATGGGTAAAAATTAGTATATTAGCTAAGAACTGTAGGATGCTATGTAACTATGGCTTTTATTTGTGCAAGGATTCCAGTTTCATCTCTGTGTATAGTGAACATCTGTTCTGTGACATGTGCTTTGCCAGATGCCTTACTCCTGTTAAGAGGTATTGCCAGCACTTTTACAGATAGAAAACTGGGAGTGTCTGGAAGACAAACCTTTCCTGAGTTCATACAGAGCAGGTGCAGTCAGGAGACAACCCGCTAGAGACCCTCTCACTTCCCAACACCAATTGCATGTTTGCAAGTCCCTACAACCATCCTCAGATTTGATGAACACTAGAAGGACTCACAGATTTCACTGAAAATGGTTACACTTTCCTACAGTTTACTACAGTGAAAGGATCCAGGGAACCCTTGTTCTCAACCGAGGGAAGAGACATGAGGCAGATAAGAGCTGATGTCAGGAAGCAGGAGCATTCCAAGTTCTGCACTTCTTCTCCCCATGGAATCCTGGATAGTGCTACCTACTTTCAGCAACAGTGTGAACATAGTCAAGGAGTGGCATCAACAAGGGATACCCCCAAGCCTTGGGTATCTAGATCCTTTACTAGGGACCCATCACTAGATGTGGTTGACCACCCCTATGGCTGATCTCAGTCTCCAGCCCCTTCTGCAGGATGAGCTGATACCTTGTAACCCAAAGTCCCCATTATAAGTCATTGATAGATGATCTGGAGTGGCCTAAGGCCTTCAAGTAAACAAAGACATTTTTATCAGGCAGGCATTCCACAGGTTCAGAGGTTCCCTCCCAGGAGCCAAGGGCCAGACCTCTTTTTGTATCAGGTTAAATTCTTTAGTACACAGCAGTGTTTTACATTTACTAACCCTACACCTGTGTACTTGTCACCACCATAGCTGCCTCTTGATCATGTTGTGGATCAATATTTTATTCTGAGGTGGTACAAGGGTTTACGAATCTCTGCAGGAGGCATTCCTTCCCATTACACAGTGTTCAGTTACTTGTCTGACCTGTTAATTTTTGCCCAGTATTAGCAAAATTTTCAGCTTGACGCAATTCCTAGCCCCAAGAAAAAGAGAAAATTTAAACAAAGACTAGAGAAGCCACCCAACCAACCTTTCCCAATGAGACAGGGCAAGCTAGGGTTATTAGGCAGTTTTAGGGACAGTGCAGGAGGGGACCTCTGAAGAATTTAGGGAGGCTTCAGAGATAAGGACAACCAAAGAAATATAACCAATTCCATCAGGAAAAACAAACATGCCAGGACCAAGGACAACATTGTTAATGCTGGTCCTGGTTTCCTTCAGGTGGTAAAGGGAGGCGGAGATTGGAGAAATGGAGAGTGGTTTAATTTATGGTCACATTAGAAGGGCAGCTGTTTAACTTCAATGCAGGGATGCCCATCCAGAAGACTGGGCCAAAATTTAAAGATGCAACAAATGGGGAAAGACAAAGCTGTTAGATAAGGAATGTGAAGATCCCGCACTCAGTAGCAAATTGAGTGAGACAGCCGAGAACTAACCAATCACAAAGAGACTGGGGCAGCTTTAGAATAATGAGGGAAAAAAGGTATATATTCCCTGAAACACAATTCCACTTTGCCTTCCTTGCCCCTCCCAGGCCTGGTTCCCTGGCCTGAGAGTCCCACTTTATTTCTGTTCTTTTTCTCCTCAATAAACTTTTTCTTTTTCTAAACAAACTGCCTCTTCTCGCTTGCTTGCCTGAGCGTCTGCGAAGTTCCTGCTGCGGCTTCGTGAGACACCAACCCGTGGGGGTCTAGCGGCTGGGGCTCAGCGCTGCCCTGCAGCCTGGAATCCATTCCTGGCTGGGAGACTAGGCCTGACAATTCCGGTATCACCAAGATGCCATTCTGTTCTGAAATGTGCCACTTCTCTTTTTACCTGGGGAAAATGTTTAAGTAATGTTGGAGGACACTCCGCGTAGTGAGCAGAAGGGCCTTGACCCGAGTTCCTAAGGCATGTGAAAACACATGCGTCTTGGAGAAAAACCTGTGAGTGACAGGACTTGGTGATGAGAGCCTGGAAAGTGACCTGTGTGGAGTTAGGCTTTTATATTTTCACAGTTTGAGAATAACAAAATGGAGAGACCCTGTGCAGTGAGCAGAAGGGCCTTGACCCGAGCCCCTTAGGGACTCGGGTCAAGGCCCTTCTGCTCACTATGTGGGGTGTCCTCCAACAAAGTAACAGTAGTAACAATAATAATAACAATAATGATAATGTAATTGCACATTGGAATGTACGGCAGTGTCAAACAAAGAGGTTGATAATGTCCCATGACTGACTCCATCTCCCGAAGAGTGAGCTGTGTCTCACATGGGCTTTGAGGACAGATGGATCTGCACCATCAGGGCATTGGCACCCTCTGTTGCATGAATACAATCCCCACTCCCTGCTGTGAGGGGTGGGGAATCAAGCATGACACTTTATGCCCGGGAGGAATTTCCCCCTTTCTCTGAGGGCAGGAAACAAACACAGAGAGAGTCACTCTTAATTTGCTCTCAACAAAAGGGCTCTTGACCCACAAAATGTAATATCCCAAGGAGGACTTTTTTGAAGAGGACCTGTCTTTGAGTGAGGTCAACCCATTGTGGATTATGAGGGGTCAGGCAGGGCCTGCCAGACCTGAGTAGCTGAAAGGAGCCCAGCCTTTTCAATGAGGCTGGTTCCCTATGCTAAGTGCAAATAAACAGTTTCCTCTGAGTTTTTTGAAACCCTGGGTCTTAGAAGATCTCTGCTCCTTTGAAGATGTTTTTCATCCAAGGGTGCTATTCTGAACATCATTTCCTGCCAAGATTTTCCCCACTGATTTACTGTCTGCCTTTCTCCCTTTGTACTTATGGAATAACAGAATAAGAGCAGAAAGGCATTTAAGAAAGGAATAAAAAAGGACACCACTTTTGTATAAAGACTCCTGCTGATAACTTGATAGCTGGAAAAATGTCTATTTTACTCTGAAAAATAGGAAATTGGTTCTAGGTTTTTATCTGATTTACAGTTAACAACAAACCTGTTCTTCCTTTCAGTTAAACATGTGTTTTTCAAAGTTACCCGGTTATACTCGATCCACTGTTCATGCTTCTAGGTAAGTATAAGAATTACATTTGCTTGTGAACCTGTCTATAGAAAGGGGGAAATACTCATAACATGGGTGCATAGCGTCAAAACTGCGCCCTGCTTTGACCAAATCACAGGGAGATCTAGGGCCAAGGTCAGTGGACCTTCATGCTCTCCCATTCCCTCTCTGGAGAATGGAGATGGCATTTATTTCCTAAAAGTCTAGGGCCTATCTGTCATTTTAGGACAATTAAAAACCTATGCACTTTGCCTATAGGGAGTCTAGTGCAGCAGTCATGTCACTGCAAACCACCTTTTCTCTGGCCTCCAATGTGACGCTGTTCGACCTGGCCGACAAGATGCAGAAGTGTGTCAACTCCTGCAGGTCCTCTGCTGAGGTCTGCCAGCTTTTGGGATCTCAGAGGCGGATCTTTAGAGGTAAGAGAGGACTCTTTCCCCATACGGTTAGGTACAGACCTGGGATAGAAATGTAAGAAGTCACAGAACCAGGGCCTCCCCTGATGGCGCAGTGGTTGAGCGCTGGGTTGCGAAGCTGCCCGCAGCCCCTGCAGCACCTGTTCAATCCCTGGCCACCGGGCGAGGGTCCCACATGGCGCGCAGACCTCTCCTGCCGCCCGCTGCTCCCCTCAGCAGTGTACCTCGTTGGTCTGCCTGTTCTGTTCCCCGCTCTGGCTCTGGTGAATTCTCTCACCCTCCAGCGCTTCTGACTACCCAGTGTTTGTATACATACATACATAAATAAATAAATAAATAAATAAATCTTTTAAAAAAAAGAAGTCACAGAACCAGCCTCTTTGAAGTGGATGTTAAGTAATAGATCTTTGTGCACATGTGTGCACACATGTAGCCTCAAGGTCACCTGTCCTTAGCATACTGTCCCTTCTATTTCTGCCATACAGCATTGGTGTGGGAAGGGAGATAAGAGTTGATGTCATGAAGCAGAAATCACTCTTAGGAAGTTCCTACTCTCTCTGCAGAAACAGAAATTCACACACAGAATGCACATGCTTGTCAGTGACCTAAAACCACTGTGATGTGCCATTAAATAAGAAAAAAAATGTGCAAGTATTATACCTGCTTTTCTTTGCAAATTGTAAATATACAGAAACAAGACTAGATCAGCGTGGGCCACCCTGCTCACGGTGCCATTAACGATGTTTTCTCTTTTCTTGCTTTTGCTTTATCAGTTTTGTCCAAGCTTCTACAGTGCATCTGGTATGAGGCTGATGAAGACAGAAATTAGAGACAAAGGCACATTTAGTTCCTGGATGGGAGGGCTCAGCTCTAGAATGGAATAGCTCTGCACTGGGATCAAGAGTGCTTCCTCTAAAGGGGGACTTGCCCTTGCTGCTATTTCTTATGTGAGCCAAGTGGACTCTGGTAACTCATTTCAGTACACAGTTTGGGCTGGCAAAGGATGTCGAATCTCCATAAACTGCGCCCTCTGGCATCAGTTGCTGGACATAGTTGTGGGTAGAGATTTGGTGTGCTAGATGCTAGTAGGCGCTCTGGGACACGCCCAGTGGTCAGGGCTTTGCGAGTGCTAGACCCTAGTGCTCTCCTCTTGGGCCCCTGCATTGCAGAGCATGGGAGGGGGGAATTAACCTTTTACTCAGCAAATGCAGCCACTTTGGGCCAGGTGTTTGTTTGGTAAAAATGCTAAACTTTATGGACTTGAAGTTGTTATTCAACATCATTAAGTAATTGGTTAAAAATTTATCCCCTGTTATGCTGTGCTCTAAACTTTGAGGCAAGGTTTGGCTTTATTTTGTTTCTCTTGTTTGTGATTCAAGGTACCAATTGTTTTCTTTTTTTTTTTTAAACATTTATTTTTATACAAGAGCTGGAGTACAGGCCAGAGGCGTGGGAGGGTGAGAGGATTCACCAGAGACAAAGCAGGGAACAGAACAGGCAGATGACCGAAATACACTGCTGAGGGGAGCAGCGGGCGAGACAGGAGAGGTCTGCCGTGCCATGTGGGAATCTCCCTGGCCAGCCAGGAATCGAACCCGTGCTGCAGAGGCTACGGACAGCTTCACAGTGCTGCGCTCCCTGCTGTGCCACAGGGGAGGCCCGGGTACCAATTGTTTTCTATCTGACTCACTAAGTACTTAGGGAGTGCCTCCTATGTGATCAGCATTGTACCAGGTTTCTTTTTTTTTTTTTGTCCCCAGTAATTGCATTTTATGGCTTGCAAATCAAGCGACCCGATACTTGGATTTGTAAGGTTCTGCTCAGAGCAGATGTAGAGCAAGGTCCCGTCTTCCTTGCCGAGACCCCAATTTTGGTTTTGTTTTTCATTTAAGACCTCATTTTTTCTTTTTCTTTTAAGATTTATTTTATTTATGCATCCAAGAACTAGGGTACAGGGCAGAGGTGTGGGGGGTGAGAGAATTCACCAGAGACAGAGTGGGGAACAGAACAGACAGACTGACTAAAATACACTGCTGAGGGGAGCAGCAGGCAAGTCATAAGAGGTCTGCTGTGCCATGTGGGCACCTCCCTGGCTGGGTATTGAATCTTGTATTGCAGAGGCTACCGATAGCTTCATAGTGCTGAGACTTAACCCCTTGTGCCACCAGGCAGGCCCAAGAACTTACTTTTTAGAGCAACATTTGGCTCACAACAAAATGGAGAAGAAAGTAGAGACATTTCCCATACATCCCTGCCTCACATTTTCTCCTCTCATTCTTTCCTCTCAGAGCTATCTTGAGCAAAGATAGCCAGCCGTGATTCTCAGCCAAAACCGGGCTTGTGTCTCAGGTCTTCTGCTTTTACTAACACGCCAGCAGTGCCGCTCACCTTCCTGAGTGCTGGTGCGGTGGGCTTGATAATCAGCGTTGTCAGGTTCTGGGTGTTTCCAACATACCAGCTACTCTGGGCATTGCTATTGAAAAGGCAGGTTTTCCCCTTCAATTCACAAAATATCCGCTTCCTCATCTTTCAGAGAATGCAGCTCTCACATCTCCAGAGGTTTAGAGTCTTTGGAAATCCCCCAGGGAGTGTCTTAGCCTTAGATTTACATAAATTCTCATTGTCTGTTTGGCGGATGTTATGCCCAGGAAAGACTATGGGAATTGTGGATATGGGAAAATCACATCTCCAGGCTGAAAATGAAAATGGAATTATTCATTTGATGGATTCATGATAGAATTTTCTTTAAGAACTTTTAAGAGAGCAGAGGCAGGCCTGGCTTTCCTTGCTTCCACATGAACCTGCTCTTCTGCAGGGTAAGGTTGCTTCAGCAAGGGGGAGTGGTTACTTGCCACTATGCTAGATGAATGGGCAGGACAGAAAGAGAATGTGACATTGCCTTAGAGAAAATATCTTGCCAGGCCAGAACACTCAGGCTGGCTGCTAGACAATGTTAGTGCTGGCCTAGCAGTGTTTTTTTATTTTTTGTTTTTTTTTTTTTTGCCTTGGAGATATTTCTTTATATTAAGACTTAAGGACTGGCAAAGCCTTCAGAAGGTTTAGACAAGGGACATGAGGTTTAGTTCCTCTCCGATACCAGCTTTGCAGTGTTTTCCTGGTGAGATTTTCCATTTTTTATTTTCCCCCTTAAATACAAACTTTTCACAATAAACAAAGGAAATTCTATCACGCACACATAGGGTTTTGATTTAGCATGCCAACTTCTACTGATAAAGACAGGAAATTCAGCATTGAGCACTAAAGTTGTGTCCTAAACTTACCTCCCCATAGTCAGCTTATCCACCAGTCCCAGAGTGTCAGGATTCAGAAAAGAAAAGGATGCCGGGACCCCATGTGGGCGGGGCAGCTCCAGGTATCAGCTCACACCCCCAGGACCCACCTAGATAGGGCCAGTTTTGCTGTGTTAAGACTGGTGCCTGGTTTCTGAATAAGTTGGTATCATCCTTAAGCTAGGAGAAGGGAGACCCTCCCGCACTACACAATGTGCATAGTGTCCTTCTGTGGCTCTATTCACCAGAACTCACTAAACTCACTCTTAGCACCAAAAACCAGCAACAGCAAATACCAGTTTGCCTTGCGCTGTACATGGGTGCAAGTTCCATTTCACTCTCCAGTTGATTTCATATTTTTGTTCTAATCTCTGTGTACCCCCATTTTTATGTGTCCTTTTTGTTGGGCCTGTGTTAGAAGTTAAAGCATACCACATTGTATCTGCTGTATACAGCCTCAGGGGGTCTGCTGTGGACAGCCTTGGAGAAGGCCATACATCCATGAGATGAACGTGGCCCACGTACCCAGGGATGGACAAAGCCAGGTGCATACGCTGTAAGAAATAAGGCTGTAAAGTCGAGGGGATAGCAAGGTTGGGAGATATGCTCCTTCTCTGCACCTCCCCCTTAGTGGTGACCTGGTGACTGGGGGTACCTTCAGTTCACGTATGCTGAGTACTGTGTGGGGACCAGTCTCTGTGCAAGGTGCTGAAGATCTGGAAATGGGTAAACCCTGAGAAGGAGGCAGCATAGTGGGGAGACGGTCAGATAAACATAATTACACAGCTGTGGGGGCTACTGGCCACATCTCTCCTCAAAGCCAGTCTGTTAGATCCCCGGCCGCAGGGCATGCTGTGTCCATTTAGGCCTTAAAGATGCACTTCCGCTTGAGGGAGGTCTCAGGGCTTCCTAAACGCATGGACACATGGGCCGGCTTGTGCTGACTCTCCCCTGCAGGCCATACCTGAGGCCCCAGAGGACACGTTTGCAGTGAGCTCGGAGGATGGGGGCAGCACCCTGTTTCTTCTCCATTTGCTTTCTCACCCTGTGGCGTGCTGTGCTGGTGTTTTTAATGGGGAAATGCTGTGAGCTTTTCATAATAAGCCCAAGGGGCTGACACAAGGCTGGAGTGGCAGAAGGCAGTAAGGAAGGAGCTTCTGAAAGGAGTGATGTTGGACCATGAGGACTTTGTTGAAACTGTTCTCAGAGCCTCTTTAAAAAGAAAGTTCATGCAACTTCAGGTTGGAAGTAGAGGAGGTCTTATTTGACTTCACTGTCTCATCTTTCCATTCCAGCCGGCAGTTTGTGCAAGCGGAAGACTCCAGAATGTGACAAAGAGACCTCCATCTGCACTGATCTGGATGGCGTGGCGCGGTGCCAGTGCAAATTGGGCTACTTTCAGTTCAACAAGATGGACCACTCCTGCCGAGGTGCGGTGGTTTCTGGGGGCCCTGGGTCTGTCCCAGGAGGGACGGGAAGGGGCACTCTGGTTGTTCTAGGTGTGACTGCTGTCAACTAGGGGTGACCAGTTCCTGTTATTTTGCTCACAGCAGGACTGAATATATTATCTCCTTGGAATAATACCATTATCTCTGACTGGGCCATGTTGGCCTGGCCAATCAAATGAAAAGGAAAAGCAGAGAATGGAATGCCTGTGGGTGCAATGCCTTTTCTTTTTTCTTTTTCACCTAGTGGAAGTTTAAAAATTATTGTTTTGATTCCTAAAGCTTTATTCTATTGTCTGCTAATCTTTTAAAATGGAAATATAAGGCTGGAGGTAAGTGTGTCTTTTTTAGCAGCAACTCGGGAGATCAGATTCAGAGCCCACTCTGCCTTTCTGATCACATATCATCCTGGGTAGATCACTTGCTTCAATGAGCCTCAATTTCCCCTTTTGTGAAGTGGGTATAGTGATGCTTCATTGGATGTTGAAAGAACTGAAAGCAGGGGTTGTGGAGGTGCTGCCTAAACCAATAGCGTTTGCTTTTATGTTTTACCCAGGTTGTTGTTGAGTTAATAAGTGTGAGGTTTAAAAGTTTCATGTAGTATTTGAGGGCAGAAGCATGATTCTAACTGAGGCTTCCATTCATTCACTTAGAGATAAAAACTGCTCAGGGAGTGCGGTGAAAGAATACTGCTTTAGGGGGCCTCCCCGGTGGCGCAGCGGTTGAGCACAGCGGTTGAGTACTGGGTTGTGAAGCTGCCTGCAGCCTCTGCAGCGCCGGTTCGATCCCCCCTTGCTCCCCGGCCACCGGAGGAGGGTCCCGCATAGCGCGCAGACCTCTCCTGCCGCCCACTGCTCCCCTTAGCAGTGTACTTTGGTCCTTCTGCCTGCTCTGCTCCCCGCTCTGGCTCTGGTGAATTCTCTCACCCTCCCACGCTTCTGACTGTACCCAGTGCTTGTATAAATAAAAAAAATAAAAATAAATAAATCTTTAAAAAAAAAAAAAAAAACAACTCTTTATTAAAAAAAAAGAATACTGCTTTAGGACCTCCCCTGGTGGCGCAGCAGTTGAGCGCTGGGCTGTGAGGCTGCCCGCAGCCTCTATGGCGCTGGTTTGTTCCCCGGCCGCCAGCAAGGGTCCCACAAAAAAAAAGAGAAAGAATACTGCTTTAAAATAAAATTAATTCCAGTCCAAAACACTGTGTACTCTGACTTATAAAAGACGGCTGCAATATGTGACCCACCAGAAGAACTAGCAGTGTAGAGGTGATCATGTGGCTCCCAGCATCAAATCACATGAGAACCTGTATGGCACAGTTCTCCCGCTCAGCCAACATTTGCTGGTGACAGATGTACTGGAATCTGAGTAAAAATCGCCCACTGGGGAAAGGTGACGTGCCACTTATTTCTGTCAGGTCTTCCCACTAGGGGACTCATCCCATCAGGAGAAGATAAAAATACATTTCAGGGCATGCTCTCATCTGATCCTCAGACTCGCTGACAGGTTTGTATACAAAGGGCTTTGAAAGTGTGCACCCTTGCTCTGCACGCGGGCCCCATGGTGGGTTTTGAAGAGGCACCGCCGGTGTTGGCCAGCAGTCCTAATGCGTGACTGTGGCATGGCGTTTCTCAGCGCCTTGCCAGCCCGTGATACAAAGATAGGATGCTTCCTAATTCCGTCTTATCTGGTTGCCCTTCTTAGAAACTGGGACGTTGAGCCCCATTTCATGTGGGCAGAGTGACCTCTGCTCAAATTCATGTGCTGGGGCAGGCGAGCAACCGGCGGGAGGGAAAGCGAGGGGAACAGAAGGGCACACTGCAGGAGCACTGGCCCCCTGGCGTTCCTGGCCGCCTCCAGAGCAGCCCTGCCACCCCTGCTTCTGGCTGACCCAAGCAGCTTCCCTCTTTCCAAGTCAGTTATTTCACCATCATATCCCTTATGGACAAGCACTAGCAATAGCAGAGCTATCAGAGATTTTCCAAATGCAGTTACACAGGCACCAGCTACCTTATATTTAAGTAAAGACCCAAGAGGCAGCATAAGGAAACATTGGTTAGCTTGTAGACTTGTTGCTAAGGCCCATGAAGCCTCAACTCTGCAATATCCTCACTGGTTAGGTTTTTAATCTGTGGTCATTGGGCCTCTGATGAGTGGACTGGCGGCTTCTTGGGCCACCACTCTGTCATCTGGGTTCCAATGGGTTAGCAGTGACATCTTCTGGCCATGGGTGCTGGAACACAAGATATTTAAGATATATCTAGACCCCTTCTAGGCCCCTAGATCAGGGGTCAGTTCACTGTGTAAACGGAGAGCAAAGGTATATGGGTGTGTATTTTCTAAATCTCTGCAATTTACAGCAGTATATTAGCAAGTCTATATTGTTGTGTATTATGCACACACACCCTTCTTAGGGTCTTACACAAAGTGCCTTTGCCATGCCTTTACCAAAGTGTCATGAAATTTAAGTGACTGTCATTCCCGTGGGCGACTTAGCATCATCATGGACTAGGTCTCCTTTTGCAGGTCTCTGTCACCTGATTTCAGGTGCCTCGAGAGTGGAACCTTTGTCTAATATGCTTAGGGCCTTGTGTAGTTCAATGAATGTCTGCTGAATGGCATGGGGTGACAGTACAGCAAACATGATAGGACCAGATTGGCAGGTCTTGATTCAGTTTCCTGCAAGGGAACAAAACAGACTTTAAGGCGCTGCTGCTTACTTGTTTTTTGAAGGCCAGCAGGTTTGATCTTGCTTGTCCCCTATTAATAAGGGATGCCCCGCATGGGTGTATGTGTCCACGTTCATTTTATCTTCAGTGCTCCGTGGGTGAGAGACCCTTTAAAGTTTGGAAATGTGGAACTGGATCTCATGGAAATGCTTTATGACAAGATTTCCACTCCTTCCCCCCAGACCTTCTAAAATAGCACCAGAATCCCAGTAGCGCTGAGTGTTTGATGAGTAACTGCACAAGCCCATTTGAGATAAAGAAATATCATTGCATCAGGGAATCTGGCCACTTATGAAGCTAAGTGAAAACAGCCCAACCCCTCAGCTCGCAGGCAGGACAACAGATGGACATAACGTCTGCTGGATGACAGCCACCGTTTGGGAAGCTCCCACCCAGCAGATGAGGGTTGGGTGGATAGATCTGATGTAAAAACATTTCCAGGAAGAACTGTTCAGAATAGAACAGACTAGTGTGACATCAGCCTGCCTCGGAGCTGAGATGGGTGGGGATGAGTCACTGGAGAAGCTAGCAGTCTCTCGTGGACAAAACCCTGGGTCATCCAGGGGCAGCTTCTCCCGCTCTCACGACCTGGTATGGCCTGAGGATGGCCAGGGCTCATTCTTTTCCACACCCAGGGAGAGGCGGCAGTGCTCGGCTTGTTCCTTAGGGAAGGCCCTACCAGTGGAGGCAGTGCAGAACTCAAAGATTTGGGGGAAGGCCTCGTTCCTTCTTCCCTGAATGGAATATGATTTATATCTTGCCAAAAAGGTTTGACGTGCTGATAAAAATTCATGTAACAAAATGAGATTTAGTTTAAGGTAAATCAGGTTGAAGGAGAATAAAGTGCCAACTCTGCTGAGGCTAGGAAGAAAGTGAATATGAGGAAAGATGTATCATAAGGGCTCATGTGTGCTAAAGGTAGATCACTCATTCAAGTTCTGAGCTTCATGGACACAGAGGCAATGAGAGAGAAATGATTTTGAAAAGAGTCTGGCACTATAAAGTAAAGGTCAGCGGTTCAGGAACATCCCCATCTTTCTAGGCCCTGGGGCACAAGAGAAATTTTCCTGGGTCATCATTAAGGGAACCCTTAATACAAGAGACTATGATTCAAGAAAAGTGATTCCATGGGGCTAGAACAGTGCAGCTTAGCTTCATGGCTCCAGTGATCTGCTGTGAGAGAAATTACAGGTTATTCAGGAAAGTATTTTTCAGACTCTAGTGATATGTCAGGGCCCATTGATGGAAAACAAAATTGATGCTGGAAACATTTAGTGTCTAGTGTTAAAAGCCAGAAGGAAGAAGCACATTAACCTCATCCGTGTCATTAATATCATTATCCACTAATACGTGACAGAGGTTTGGGAAGCCTGCGAGAGCTCTGTTCCCCTGCATGCCCCCAGCCATGCATGCAGCTGGCGCTCCCATCTGGCCATTAGCACATATGCTCTCTGTGCAGGGATTGCTCCCCTACTCTGTGCACCTTTTCTTACCTGTTGTCTTTTATGGAATGTGTATCATACCTTAATCATGAATCAAATTTTTATCATTCCTTGTAGCAATGAATATGTCCTTGAGATCATTTTTTACTGTCTGCTTTAATCCAGGCTTGCATTATAGCTCATGGAGCTTCTGTCAGCTTTGTGTAGGCTTGAAAGTGTCTATGATCAAATTAATTCAGAAAGTGCTGATCCAGGGGAATGACTGGGCCTCGGGGCCTTCAGTGACATAGTGGCACGTGACTAGCACTGCCAGTAGGTTCAAAGTTATGTTGTTGAATTAGGGCTTATCTAGATATGTGCAAAATCCCCCAGACAGTCCACAGGGTGAGCATGTATTTATGTAAACTGAGGTACTTACCAGTACTGTGGCCCAGAAGGTGTTACCTGAATCCATTCCTCAGAGGGGGGCAGAGGCAGCATAACCAATTCGGGGGCAGGGGACAATAAAGGCCTGACTTACATTAAAGATGGGGGGCAGGGCCTCCCCGGTTGCGCAGTGGTTGAGTGCTGCTGGGTTGCGAAGCTGCCCGCAGCCTCTGCAGTGCCAGTTCGATCCCCGGCTGCTCCCCGGCCACCAGAGGAGGGTCCCACATGGCGCGCAGACCTCTCCTGCTGCCCGCTGCTCCCCTCAGCAGTGTACTTCTGCCTGTTCTGCTCCCCGCTCTGGCTCTGGTGAATTCTCTCACCCTCCCAAGCTTCTGACTGTACCCAGTGTTTGTATAAATAAATAAATAAATCATTAAATAAAAAAAAAGATGGGGGACAATTCTCTGTGATTATGGAAGGATCTTGTACAGGAGATACAGAGAACTTTCCAAAGGAATTGCAATTGTTGGAAAATGCAACTACAGCTATTCATTTGGTGGTTACTGTGTACCAAATACCATGCTAAACCTTGCAGACTTTATTTTACTTAATCCCCCCCAGAAACTGTAAAGCAGATAGTATCCTCTTTCTATAAATGGGTAACTGAGTGCCATGAAGAGGTTAAGAAAATATCCCTGATGACATGCAGTTCAACTGGTGACGATATTTAGGTCACATGGCAGATAGTTCTAAAGGCTCTTTGTAGCCTGGTGATTCTAGATTGTTGTCAACTTCAGGGTGGCTGCTGCTCAGTGACCTTGTGTTTGGGCCAAGAGAGGTATGTAGACTGCTTCATGGGTTCTTCTTTTCTCCTTTAGCCTGTGAAGACGGATACAGGCTGGAAAATGAGACCTGCATGAGGTAGGCTACGTGCTCATTTATTCTGATGAATTCACTTACTAGGCAAATTGTCTCAGTTATTTTCTTGAACATTTGAAACCAATCTTTGTTCTTTTCTTTGTTGGCTTGCAGTTGCCCATTCGGCCTTGGCGGTCTTAACTGTGGAAACCGTAAGTATGCGAAGCTCACACAGCAGCTCCTCCCCTCTCCCTCACTTCAGATCCTCTGTCTTCTCAACTCCTGCGTTGGAGGTGTGGGGAAGCAGAGAGGGACTTCCCAGTGCTCTCTAGGTGCTGGAGGTCTGGCAGGGCAGGTAAACACAGTCCTACACCACCCTGGTTCTGCAGTGTTAATGCAATAGATTAGGCTGAGGTGTGAGGAGGGGAGGGAGTAGTATGTTCTACTACGTGGGACGTCAGTGAGAGCTCTCTGCCCCCACAAACCCTCCCCTGCCCCAGCCATGCATGCTGCTGGTGATCACCTCTGCTATCTGCGGGGATTGCTCCCTACACTGTGCACCTTCTCTTACTTGGGATCAGTAGAAGGAGAGTAGAAGAAACTGCCAAGAACTTTTTGTGGGGACTAGAAACAGAGGTGTTCTGAACTTTGACTGTCAGGTATGGAGGAAAAAGGAATCCCAGGCAGGAAGAAGAACTTACTCAGAGGTCCTGGGGCAGCCTGTGCCCATAGTGTCCTGGCAGCCTGTGCCCATGGTGTGAGCAGGTGTGAGTAAGCGTGGAAAGAGAGGTGGACGGATGCTGAAAGATTGGCTTGCCAGGTATACAGGGGCCAAACTGTTGGGGTTTTGATGGCCAGTGTGAGGGTTTAGACTCTGATCACTAACTGCTGTGGAAGTAACAACACTTTCAGAGCCTGAAAGCAGTGTGGCTGAGGAAATCAAGCCGGGTGCAGTGTGGAGCATAGATGGGAACAGGAGCCTGTGAGTTCAGCAGCTCTCAGTGTGGTCCCTGCTGGGGCTCAGGGCTAGTGACAGCATCCCCTGCCCCCTGAGCCAGAGGGTAGACAAGTGGTGGCTGTGTGTCCGCTAATCACATGGTTGGTTCCGCTGGCAGCCCACACCATCCTCCTACAGTCACCTTGTTAGCACCACCTCAGATATGGTTGAACAACAAAAGATGCCCCTCTCATTCCTGTCACTCAGAAATGCCAAGAGTTTTGAATGGTCTTATGCCAGGAAACCAGGAAGATCAAGTAGATATTTATTTTATCACAGTACTACAGGTGTACTCAGTTTAATATAGTGAGGACAGGGGCTTCCCCTGGTGGCGCAGTGGTTGAGCGCTGGGCTGCAAGGCTGCCCGCAGCCTCTGCAGTGCCAGTTCGTTCCCCGGCTGCCGGCGAGGGTCCCACAAAAATAAATAAATCAATAATAAAGCGAGGACATTATGCTACTTTAGAAATTAAAAAGTAGTCAAAATTTTTTTAAGCATTGTATTTAAAAAGGTAGGTTTTGGTGTTTGGAGATTTGGCTTATGTGAAATGGCATGGATAGCAGTGTATGTCCCTTTCTAAAAACCACCATTTAGTAGGCCTCCCTGGTGACTCAAACAGCACTGTGAAGCTATCCACAGCCACTGCAGCAAGAGTTCGATCCCCGGCTGGCCAGGGAGCTACCTGCATGGTGCAGCAGACCTCTCCCGTCTCGTCCACAGCTCCACTCAGCAGTGTATTTCAGTCAGTCTGCCTGTTCTGTTCCCCACTCTGTCTCTGGTGAATTCTCTTACCCCCTGCACCTCTGGCCTGTACCCCAGTTCTTGTATGCATAAATAAATAAATTTTTAAAACAAAAAACCACCATTTAGACAAGACAGTTCCCCAGCCTGGCTCAGGAAGACATCTGTGCTTTAAAGGGACTGCTGGGTACAGATATGTCTTTGTTCACGTCTTAGCATGAATCTCACTCCTCAAAGCCAGAACTGAGCCATCACGCCCTTAAATTGAACAGAGAACAGAGTAACCTGCACACATACGTAGACTAAAGAAAGGCTAGGACTTTTCAGTGTAGAAACGGAGGTGAACAGCCAGACAAAGCATTGAAGCTATTTGAGACTTTTTCACCAAGTGCTGGAATACCAGAACTAAATAGTAAAGTCTTTGAAAAGAAATGGTTTTAGAGGTAAGAGTAGTGATCACACTACATGCCCCGAACTTTATCCTAAGACTTTCTAAGTATTAAAATCAGAGAAGCTTAACTAATATCACAGAGGAGGTGCTTAAGAATGATTTACCCCATTTTAATCCACTATCACTTTAAGTGAGGGAGGGCAATGCAGCTGAGTTGGCTCACATGGGCGAGAGTCTTATTTGAGTACAGCCCCATCAAAGGGTGAAGGATAAGAGAGTGAGAAGACTGAGAGACCAGCGCAGAGAGGTGGCCAGCTCTGGGGTGATCCAGGAAGCAGGAGGTGAGAGGTGTCACCTGACAGGTCTCTCCCAGAATGCGCCAGGACTTCAAATCTGTGTTGTTCCAACAGCAACCTAACTAGGTTTTTTTTGTTTTCTTTTTTTTAAAGATTTATTTATTTTATTTATACAAGCACTGGGTACAGTCAGAAGCACGGGAGGGTGAGAGAATTCACCAGAGCCAGAGCGGGGAGCAGAGCAGGCAGAAGGACCGAAGTACACTGCTGAGGGGAGCAGCGGGCGGCAGGAGAGGTCTGCGCGCCATGTGGGACCCTCCTCCGGTGGACGGGAACAGCTGGGGAGCAGCCGGGGAGCAGCCGGGGAGCAGCCGGGGATCGAACCAGCGCTGCAGAGGCTGCGGGCAGCTTCGCAAGCCAGCGCTCAAACGCTGCGCCACCGGGGAGGCCCATCCCTAACTAGGTTTTGCCAGAAACTGTTTCGTATTTCTCAGTGAATGGAAGAGTGACCCATAGAGGACAAACAGACATAGGGGAAGCACTTGAAAGGGTGGCCAGAAGAGTGAGCGGCAGGCCGTTGTTCTAAGAGGCATTTAGTGATCTGTTTCCTCCCAGCACTCATTAAAGACTACATTTAAATATATATGAAAATGATCTACCCCTTTATCCATTGACTATTCTGTAAGTTCCTGTGTTCTCCCCATTATGTTTGCGTGGTTTTAGAGGTAGCCAGTTTTCTCTGATCCAGCAGCTTCCATTTCCTTCCCTTGTAGCCATGCCATCATCATTATGTCCAGCAGAGGGCAGCCCCTCTCTGGATTGCTAGCTCCCTGCCTCGGCCACATTTCAGCCTCTTGTGAGTTTGTTGATGTGTGTGACTATCACTTTATGATTTTAATATCTGTATTAGTGTTAGTGTTGCAAATTCATTAATAGAAACTAGTAATACAAGGCACCTGCCCCTTTCTCTGAGTCTCAGACCAGCCCAGGCCAGGTTGGAGAATCCAAAATCCAGAATTCTATCACCGTCTGTGCTGACAGCGCCTTGTCACGTCTGTGCCTTGTCCCTCAGTGTTTTGTGCCAATGGCGGGACTCTGACCACCCGCCGCTGTCACCACCAAGGATGGGTGCCTTTTGAGCATTCTGACCCATACGGAACTTTCGTAGGCAATAAACGCCTCATCTCTATGCAGACTTGGGGTGTGCACTCTCCTCAAGCCCAAGGAGATGGGGAGTCCAGCTTTTTCAGCCCAGCACGTGGTCGTGAGACCCCCTTCATGCCTAAATTCCCGGGAGTCTTCCAACTCTAATATATTCTGGCTTTAAGAGAATATAACCTTTAGCCTTTCCAAAAGTTTCTCTTTGCTTTCTCACTGTGCCCAAATTTTATTCCTCATTTCCCGTAAAGAATACCCTTCAAACTGGAGAAGGCAGGACCAGCCATAGTCTCAGGACTCTTAGTTCCTGAGGTAGTGCAGACCAGCCGAACTCCATGTACCCCCGACAGGGACCCCACTACTGGGCAGCTCAGGGCCACACCTGTCTTATCACTGTTCCCTTTTTTTGTTTGCATGTAAAGTATGACGTAAAGTATTTCTTTCCATGTAAAGTATGACATTCTAACCCTTCTGCCTTACATCCGAAGGCCCCAGAACACTCTTACACACTTGTTGTCAAGGTGCCCCTCTCTTTCCTTATCCCTCCACTCTTTTCTTAAATGTGCTCGTTTCTTCCTCTGCTTGAATTTTATAGTGGCTCCTCCTGTTGGTTTTAACCAGGAGGTTGAAACCTGCTCCTCCCCTGACATCTTGGTTTGCATTGCTTCTTTCCCTCATTTTTAAAATGAATAAATTTTATTTTTTCATAACATAAAACAAACATGATCATTAATTTTCTTTTTTTAACCTAAATTAATTAGAAAATAGATAGAAGTTAAGGGAGGGAAAAAACTCAATTCTCATCATCACCAAGCAGCCCTGGGAATGCCAGGGTGTATCTTGCCTCCTCAGTGTGATACACAGGGCCAGCACCTGCGCCTGGGCGCTTGCTGGTAATGTAGGATTTCAGGCCTGTCCCCTCCAGACCTACTGAATTAGAATCTGAAGTTTAACCAGACCCATAGATTTGGTTAATCCTTAGATTTGTATGCACATGGAAATTTGAGAAGCACTGCTATTATATTTCTTTCTGGAGGTATGTGCATGTGTGTCTTTTTACCAGAAGCTAGATCTCATACAATAAACAATTTTGTAGCCTTTTAAGCCTAATAAAATATGCAGTGTTTTTATTGACATAACTTTATATGTCATTTTGGGTAATTCTGTCTAATTCACCTCTGCAGATATACCATAATTTACTTAACCATTCCCCTTATTACCATTTTTTTTTTTATTATTGAGGTAACAGTGGCTTACATTATTGGTATTTTTGAAGTATAGGATTTCTCCCACAGGTATCATCACCATAGTGCACCCAGCACCAAATCACCCCAAGTTCCCCAGCACAGTCCATTGTGCTCTCTCTCTGTCCTCACCCCTTCCTCAGCCTCTCCCCCTCTGGATGCTTCAGGTCAATAGTCAGCTTTCCTATTCCCACTTTCTAAGCCATATTTTGTGGTTATTGTCACTTTCTGATTATAGAATTAATTAATTTTTCTAGATTACCTTTGCCTGGTTGTAGACATTTTATCTATCCCGCCTTCATATTCATAACATATGCTTTTTGTAGGTTGTTCTTTCCATTCGAAGTTTCCACATCTCTTCATATGGAGACTCCCACCCCACCAGTC